AAATGACATGTAATGTGATCAAAACATGCATATTTCCAACTGACCCTACCTTATTCTTTAATGAGATCAATCATAAATTTTAATCAGAATGAAACTGAACTGAATACTTTATTTCTGAAATAGACTGAATATCCATGGATGAAAATATGTGTCTAAAACAGACAACATTGGAATACAAACTCTTATTAAACTAACATATCATGATCAAAAGATACAATACCCATGTTAGTATTATGCTCATGAAAGACCTTGGGTGGTAGCTATTTAGTAAATGGATCAATGATTATGGAGTTTGTTCTTGTATGATTTATAGAAACCTAACCACTCTGAATTATTTCCTTGACAACTAGGAACTTAATGTCTATAAACTTTTGACATCATCAGGCTCCTGTTGGAATATAAGATTGTTATTGCCACAGAATAGCTAAAGTGGTCTTTTAAATCCATCCAAAATATGCAGCCTAGTGATAATATTTTGAAGTTATATTTTATGATCAGAATCAAATTATCAAATGATCTCCAATTGGTCTGATTTTCTCGAATGTGATTATGTAATTCTTAGTTCTCTAGATACTGAATAACCTGATGACTACTCTCCAAATTTCAATCCCAGAGTTACTTAAATATCCACCTAACATTCCAATAATGAATGCTATATCCAAATGTGTGCAAACTTAAATATACATTAAACTACCAACTCCTGAAACACGGGGAATATCATGTATTTTCTTTTCTTTAAATTCATCATTAGGGCATTGATTGGCACTAAAGCTGACTCCCTTAGTTGTAGGGTATCACTTGATTTTCATTCCTGCATCCCATATTTTTCAAAAACTTTATCGATACAACTCTTTTGTGATAATCCAAAAATACACCGAGAACAATCCTTGTATATCTATATCCTTAATATAAAAGAAGCGTCACCAAAAATTTTCATTTCAAAATTCTATAGCAGAAATCTCTTGGTTTCGTATTATAAGCTTATATCATTGAGGTAAATAGTATGTCATTGACAGACAATACCAAAAAATATGCTTACTCCCACTAAACTTTAATACACACAACCATCAACTGAAATCATCTCAAAACCAAATGAGACAATTATTTGATGAAATTTGTGATACCGTTATGGGAAACCAGCTTAAGCTCATAGATAGATTTCTTTGTAAACTATCGACGTAGTTTAAGATCAAAATGTGTTACAAATGTCATAATTGTCATAAAAGAGTCTTTCATAGAAATCGAAAAAAAATTTATTTAATGTCAATATCTTCCTTTTGAGTAAGTCATTTACAACAAGACAAGCCCCATATCTCTCCACATCACCCATCGAATCCCTCTTGATTTTAAATATCCAATTACAACCAATGTGTTTTACACCTTTGTTACTTATGAACTTTATTTCTTTATACAAGATATCAATCCACTCTTTAGAATTATTCGTTTGCATGACTTGATGAAAGCTGATTGATCAGTTTTTCTTCCATCAATCCATGTCATTCTTATTTTCTTGGAGAAAGACTATAAAGTCATTCGGAATTGTCTTTCTCCTTTTTATAGTGGATTTTCTTAATGACATTCGTTCTTAAGGTTGTTGAGTTTGTTTTTTTGGAACAATCTCTTGATTGTGTATGGGGGATTTCGTAATATTGTCTTGATCCGAAATTGCTTCTTAAACAAGATCTGGAGCAAGAATTTGTCCATGAACCAAATCATTGTCAATTGCAACAGAAGGATTTTTTTGGAACAATCTCTTGATTGTGTATATGGGATTTTGTAATTGTCTTGATCTGAAATTGCTTCTTGAACAAGATCTAGAGTTAGAATTTGTCCTTGATCCTGATCATTATTAACTACAACAGAAGAAATATATACATATTCTTCATCCAAGACAAAATCATTAACCTTATAATTTTATCTCCCCCACAAACTTTATATCCTCAAGGAATTAGACATTTTTTGTTTCAAAAATTGATTTAATAGTGGTATCTTTTAAAAAAAATTGTAACATCTTAACAATTGCTTGAAACTTTGTTGAGAAATTAAGCTAAAGTCTTTAGTGCTTCTATCTAGAGAAATTCTGATGTACTGTGAGACGATTTCACATTTATCTAGGAATTTAGAAAAAGGGCCCTGGAAATTGTTCTCCTGATCCATCATAGTATTCACCGCTTTGGTAAGATCTGACTTGTTAAATTCTTTTACAGAATTGTTTTTCAACCTCAGCTTTGTATGCCTTGAACATATCCAGTGTTTGAGATTTCTCATGAATGAGATATATATAGCCATAGTGAGAAAAAATCGAATATGAACATAATAAATTATTGTTGACAATTTCAAGAAGTCGAATTGAACCCACAGATATCCGTATGAATTAGTTCTAAGACGTTTGAAATCTTATTGTCACCTAATCTCCTTACGTTTGTTTATTTTTCGTTAATGTAATTAACATAAACACTTAAGTCTGAAAAATTAAGGGAATCATGAATTCCTTCTGATGCAAGATTTTCATTCTCTTTTAAGAGATGTTACATAATCACATGTGCCATAATAAAACAAAATTCTTATTGGTTAATTTATATTTAATACCATGTGAATTCACATGTAATATTTCTTTATAAGATGCAATCGTATTAAGCAGATATAAGTTATCGTAATTGGATAAAGAATTGGTACCCACAATATTTGAATTAAGAAAAAGATCAAACTGGCTATTTTCAATTAAACAAGAGTAACCAAATTTGTCCAATATAAAGATAGAAACCAAATTCCGTCTAAAAGACAATACCGCAAATATCTCTTTCATATTCAAATCCTAACCAGTCTTTAATAATAACCTAAAAGTCCATATAGCTTCAAGTTTAACTGATTTGCCATTGTCCCCACATAGATGAATATTTCATCATCAATTGACTTATGGCTGTTCAGGCAACCTCACATAGACACATTTATGTGAGTGGTAGCACAAGAATTTTATTCACTAAGTGTGTCTAGGTATTGAAACTAAATTAACTTCAAAACAAATCAAAGTGAGAAATATATATTTCTTTACACGCCAACGTGGTATTTAGTACATTCTCTCTTTATATATCCCAAATTTTTACAAAAGTAACAGCCAGATTTATCATTTTTAGTCTTTCGATGTTTATTTTGAACCGAACTGGATGTAGCTTTCTAATTATTTATAACTTGTCCTTAGGGGTACTTGCCAAGTGAGTAATATCAATTTTATCTTGCTTTAGCCTTTCTTTTTCTTACACATAATATGAAATGAGCTCATTAAGAGCCCGCTTTCCCTTTTAATAGTTGTAACTAACCTTAAATTAGCCGAGTTGTGTAAGAATATAAATCAAAACTAAATGTACGAGCAAATCATCAGACAACTCAACTTTTAATGCTTTTAGTTTTGAAACAAAATGAGACATCTCCATGATATGCTCCCTTCTGTTTTCTTTACCCTTATATTTTAGTGAAATTAAGTTCGATAAAAGCGTGCTAGTCCCGGCCTTATTTCATTTCACAAAGGATTTTTTTCAATTTCATCAAGAAACTCATTGGCAGTAATTATATTATCGGACACAACGTCCTTAAATGCTGTTGGAATCTCACATTTCAAGATCATAAGACTTATACGGTTTGAATTAGAGGTGTCAATTAGAGTGGTTCGGGCCGGGTCGGCCTGCCAACATATGAGCCCGGTAACGCCCCGCATGAAAAAAAGCATGCTCTATGGGTTTCTGGCCAGTTCTGGGTCGGCCCACAAATTTTGAACTACAACTCATGCCCGCCCGCTGACCCATTCGGGTCAAGCCCATGCGGGTGATGGGTGGCGCGGGTCGCGGTTTGTTCCGATTTGACCCGTATTATTGTATAAATAAAATTATAAAAATATAGAATTTTTCATATTTATAGCAAAAAATATTTTTTTTTTAAATGTAAACTAAGAATTGAACAAAATGATAAAATGTTTATATAGAATTCAAATTTAATATTACATGAATTATTTATAACTTTGCAATGTTAAATTTAACTTAAACAAATAACAACTAAATGTATTTCTAATTACTATTATCAAATATTTATAGTATAAGTACATCCCAACTAGGTTGGCACCTACTTTTATTATAATTTACAGTTCAAATACATCCCAACTAGGTTGACTCTCTCCCCTTTTTTTTTTTCAAATAATTTTTTTTTCACAGGCCAGCGGGTTAACCGCGGCCCGTGAAGCCCGGGGGTCACACCTCCTTGACCCATGAACCGCTCGCTCGGGTCACGGGTCGGCCTGCAGTCCCGGGTCGATCCGGCCTGGTTTTCACGGGTTTAACCGACTCATCCGTCTTGACACCTCTAGTTTGAATGATCCCACTTATCCGAGTCCCATTTTTATGAGCGGAACTTTTTCTGTAAGAGTAGTGAATTGTTCACTCCTAAATGCAAGGTCTAGATTCATACTGTCAGAACGATATAAATGTTCCCTTTTCAGCCCTTAAACTTTGGTTCTAGTACATGAATTAAATTGATGTTGACAAATATTGGAGAAGTTGGTGGATTAACCAAACAGAGAACTCAATCCTAAATAACATGTTCACATAGGAATCCGTGAAGGATAATCAACAATTTCAAATAATGGTGAACCACATTATAAGAGACCGAACACAATATTGATATTTAGTCTTTGGACAGAAATATTAACTTATAAGTGACACTCTTGGTGTAGTAATAAGATATTGACAATAAATTCAATCAAACATCAAATTTATTTTTGGACCGACTCAATGTTCACATAATGAAAATTTTTACAATTGTCACATTTATTACCACATGTGTGTAAATAATTCGACCAAATATTAACATTTCTTTGGGCCAGTCAATATACGAATGAATTACGTACACATAAACTTCATAATATTCCAAATAAATTAATTTAGGCAAGAGATGTTACTCTGGTACTCTGTATTAGATAAAATTGGTAATAATCAGTATAATTGGGGAACTTTTTAAGTAGAACAATCTTGATCACAGTCCGGATAGGTAAGTGTTCTCTTACTGCCAGCAGTGGAAAGTGAAGAATTCGCAAGCACAACCGTGGAACTTGAAGGCATCGACAATAAATTTGGCGTAACCACAGAGTTGGGGGTGTTGGATTCCAGCATCCCAATTTCCTGCAGTAGACTATAGCAGGAAAATATGTGCTCCTGTTAAAATGCACAAAATTTAAGATAATTAGAGGAAAGAATATCACTTATTATCAGTTTTTTACTACCATATAAAGCAAGGGAAGGGAAGGGAACTCACTTTTTCTAGGGACCCCCATGATGAGATTGTGTTCATCTTAATCTCCAATTCTTTGTTAGTCAACTGGTAATCATAAGCTGCTAAAACCGCGGCTGCAGCAATTATGGAAGGCCGATTTTGTACCACATTAATCTCTGCATTACAAAACTATATATAAATTCTTAAACAAACACAGATCAAACTCAATGAAATCTTCAGAATTTAGCTTTTATTATGGTGAAAATGAGTTCGATTGCTCGGGTTACCAGTTCTTTATGGCTGCATTCACCACACAACTTGGTGGTGAAATTGTGGAGAAAAGCAAAAGGTGTAATTGAATTCATTTTCCATTCCAATGTATGCAAAATCAATAATTCCATTCTCTGAATCACATTTCCTTCAAAGTTATGGTCATCTACATGATACTCTGATAATGCGGGAATTTTATGTTCGTCCATCTTTGCAGCCAAAGATAAACAAGCTGCAGATAATAATCGAATAACCCACAATTTTCCATCCTATTATATTTCGAGTTAGTAGACACGAATATTTACATCTAATAAAAATAAATAAATTAAAATAAGAAACACTTACATCAATTAATCGTCTTGAAAAGAAGTGATCAAAATAAATCAATGATAGATAAGCAGTGCAAAAGTGAAATCCAAAAGAGGCACTTGTCTGTATACGCACACCACAAATTTTAATAGCCCAGTAAATACATAAATATATATATAACAAAAAATAAAAAGAAGATTGAGAAAAAGACATACATTGAGAATCCATTTGATTGCATCTAAACGGACACATTTAAACCAGCTCTTTTCACTCTTGAGAAGTGAGTAATTGCTATTAGTTTGAAAAGTGACTGCCTCTCTTTGGATTAACATTTGTATACTCTCATCATCACACTCTGAAATAGAACATAAGCCCAAGTTGTAATTCTTTTCATTCAAAAAAGACTCATCTTCTTGACACAAAAGGGTGCCTGAATCATTCATTCTGTTCTGCAAAATCTTAGGTAGCCAGAAAAATATAAAGTAAATAAAATGTTCAAGATTTGGTTAAAAGTAAGGAGAAATCTGGATTCTAGAAAGTGATAACTAGTAATTTAGAGGGGTAGCTATAACGTGGGTCCACTTATACTATCCCTTAATTTCTCCAAATGTTGCGGGATTCTAGTATTTTTCAGCACTAGTTATACTATCCAGTTCCCCCATTTGAAAAGAGTAATGTTATTTATACTGAAAATTATCAGTAACGTCGAGTCAGCGCGACCGCCCATGTTGACTCTGTTGGAAAAATGGCTTATAAAACTTTGACGAATAATGTTAAATATTTATAAATGTACTAACTTTTAACTAAAGGTCGTGTAGCTCTAGCGATTGAACCGTTGAACCAATGATTTGTACAATCAACGTTCAAGTCGGGTATAATAACAATGCATAATATATATTTTTATTGTTAGATTTTATCAATTTATTGTGTAAATTTTAAATTTAGACAATCTAAATACTATTCTTTATTCTTTTATTATTTTGTAAAATTTAAATTTAGATAATCTAAACACTATTCTTTATTCTTTTAGGAGTACAAAGAACACATTTTTTTGAGTCAAAAATATTTCTAAAAACGATTGTTTTAAAAACTTTGCATAAGCTTCACCTAATCTTGGAACTTGTATATACCATTTAATCATATTTTACGTATAAGTTTTATCTTATCTCGCTTAAGTTCGTCACAACTTGAAACTCGATCATATGTATATGATTCAAAATATGTATTTTTTTTTCTTATTATTTTGGATTATATTTTCATTGTATATGACTTTTATGTTTATATTGAAGAACTTTTTAATATTATTTAATTAAATATTAATAAATAATCTTGTTTTTGCGACCATTAGTAGCCAACTATCGCCCTAGCTCACTCAACTTTCTGAATTTGCCCGAGTGCAACTACCTGAAGTCTTAATAGTATTGTGTTCGTGAAAGACTTTTTCTTTAGATCCGACAAAGTTGAAAGATCGAATTTGATTTAGTTAACATACACTACATAGTTACTCTAAGATGAGCTTTTACTTTATGCACTCAACCTTTCACGACGTGAGTTAAGAACTTTTTTTTATGTAATACTAATACTTACAATTGATCTTGGAAGTAGGCTCGATAAATTTTGTCTTGGTACCATTAAGCTAGTCACGACTTCTAATTTGATTATTATTTTGATATTCAATAGTTAATTCTTTTGAGGCATCAAATTGATGAATCACTTTACACCTTGTCCCAATGCATATTGAACTCAAAGTCTCAATTGAATTAGACACGTAAATGAAAGTTGTCCACATGACACATCAAGAAATTATTTAAATCAATCCGCTTCACGTTTTAATATGAAATTTTAAAACTAAATGAGATATCATAGCTTAAACAAGCCACCGTTTTGTTAAGGGTCTTTGTTACCATCGAACGAATTACTACTTTACGAGGATATAAAGATAAAAATCTCTCCCTTTAAAATAGAAATTAATAAATAAATAAATGTTTTACTTCTTTTCATAAAGTCAATTTTTAAGAAAGAATTTCAAAATTCAAATAATAAATTGATAAAAAAATCGATAGTTAGACAAGTACATAGTAACGAAAAGCTAAATATGTGCATAATTAAAATGGTTTGGTTTCAACTTATTTTGCATAATAACTAGTGGGGCAAATGGTTTATTTATAATTTTCTCTTAATCTGTTTCTTAGTGATAGATACATAATTGATTTTGTTTCCAGAGTGAAACGTTAATGATTATTTATATTTTTACCTCATATGAATTTAAAATATGTATGCATAGAGACAATAAATAATTAGTTAAAACAAATTTGAATGATTGTAATTATTTTTTATGACATTAATTATTTAAAACTTAAGATTTTTAAAACTCATTTTATCATTTGAAGTAGTGCATATGTTTATGCCATTAGGAATAAGCGTGACATTTTGATTCGATGAATATCGGATTTTAATTATGCCCTTGTTTGAGCCCTATTTTTTCAAAACTCATTTTCAACCACACGTTTTTCAATAAAATAATTTTATACGTAAATCGAAAAAAATTTCTTTCCTTTTTAACCACACATTCTATCAAAAATCAATATTCTAAAATGCATTCTTCCCTCAAAATGGGGCTCAAAGAGGGGTTATATTCAATTTTTTTTCTGAAAAAAAAATACATATTTAATAACTTAAACAAGAATAAGTTAATATTATACAAAATATAATTGCAATTTTGTTACTGACTTGATTCCTTCTGTTCTATAGTAAGGCATTAATTGATTTTCATAAATTTGAAGGGTGCTCAAACATTGTACTTATCACAACTTTTTTCATGTGGCAAAGTTGGCCCATGTTTAACCTGCATTAAAATTATAATTCATTTGTCTATTTCATTGCAAGTAATTTAAAAAAAAAAAAAAAAAAAATCTTTTTTAACCTAATTTTCCAAAAAAAGAAAAAATAAAAATATTCCAACCATTAAAATTTCAAAATGGGGACCAAACGGTAGAAAAATTTAAAAGGGAAACTTACAAAAATACCCTAAAATTATATGCCTTTTGAAAAATCATATGAAAAATATTTTGAAAGTAAAAAAAATACTTTGTAAAGGTAAGTATCTTTTTTTAGTTAAAAAAATGATACAAATTGAAAAAGTGATAATATCACTTTTATTAAAAATCGATGTTTGTCACTCGAAAAAGTGACAAATTCAAAAAAAGTAACAAGCAATAAATAAAGTGACAAAAAAAAGTGACAGAAATTCAAAAAACGTTACTTTGTAAAGTTGAGTATCACTTTTTATTAAAAAATGACATACAATGAATTTTTTTTTATATTAAAAAGTGATGTTTGTCACTAAAAAAGGAAACAAACAATTAAAAAAAGAGTAACGGAAAAAAGTGAAACACAAAAAATGACGAAAATTAAACAAAAAAAAGTAACAAATGCTAATAAAAATGACAAACACTCAAAGAAGCGATAGAAATTCAAAAAAGTGACACAACATGTCACTTTTCGTTCACGATGTCGACTAACAAGAATTTAACAAAGACATGGCATGAAATTTGTCCTTTATCTTCGCCACAAGTAACTCAACTATGACAATTCTTTGACAAATAACAGAATAATGAGGTAGTGTTTGACCTTCATCGTCCGTCAGGTAGTTCTCTGACAACATTATGCTCCATTTAAAATGAATCTTCAATTAAAATAGAGCTGATTCGACCATCGCTCTTTATTCTGTTGCTCTTCTTCTTGAGAGAATGCCTGAACTTTGATGCATTCAATGCTTATTCTTCAGGGAACCTATCCTTGTCCTTCATTCTTCCTCAAAATTCTTAAAATCAGATTTTCTTGCTCATCTTATCAGAGCCTGATGAACCCTCAAAGCCTGTTCCATGGAAAACAAATATATAAAAAATCATTTTGAGAAACGTACAACATTTTACTCCGAGTTACCAGAAATTCGCAACCTCGTAGCAAATCAAGAATAGGCAACTGCTCCAACATTCAGTACATTAGACATTTGGAACACTGAATTTGGAGATCCAATTACCAAGTTGCATGGCTTCTTCCAGTGACATTTATAAAGCAAAAAATGTGGAAATGAAAGTTAGTCAACAATAGCATTTTGAAAGAAGTTTGATTACACTCGATTTTATCAGTAGTTTAAACTATAATGAGTTCCGATTATGTAGACATTTCAATTATCTAATGATTACTGTTTTTGATTAAGTAATATAACTACCCAGCGTACCTTATGTTCACAATATAGGGAATTGTGATCCCAATCTCGTCACTTTATGCTTTCTCAAGAGTGATCAATATTAAATTTGATACTATATAAAAGCACCAGCTAACTACAGTTTATCCAAAAGGTGCCCAATTGATAGTTTTACTTGCGCAATAAAATGTCTAAAATACATAACAAGATTTACATAATTTAACCAAGTTCCAAAACATAGGTTTGGCTGTTAAAAACGTCCTTGAAATTCAATAGTGGCAATGCCATTGAAAACTAACTATGACCACAACTAAATATGTTTTTAAAAAGCAATCAAACATATTTAACAATTGAATACATGATAAGTGCATTTTGTACACTTAGTTTGATCATCAAAACATGGATATTTGTTATTATTTGGATTGAATTGTGGCTAAATTCGTACTGTATTTTATGATTTAGGTTCACATCGATGAATATACGTAAAGTGGAGAAAATGATCAAGAAATGGAATCGACGCAAATTATGGATTGAATTGTGGCTAAATTCGTTCTGTATTTTATGTTTTAAGTTCACATCGATGAATACAAGTAAAGTGGAGAAAATGATCAAGAAATTGGGTTAACCGACGCAAGTTGAGAAGATGCAAACTAAAATGCAAATAATCGAAACTTGGCTTGGAGAGAGAAG